AAGATGAAAATAGAGATTGAATATATTGTATTTATTTAACCCAAGCTGATTAAATCTGATAAAGAAAGTTTTCTACTCATTTTTACTAAAATTTAATAATAAATTACATTTTGATGAAGAAAAAAAAAGCACACACAAAAATAATAATATTTTATAATTAAAAAAATATAAACGATGGGGAGATGGTGACAAAGACCTTTAGGCGCCGCCTCATTAAGGCCGCGACTCTTCCCCCGGATGATGGTCATGGTGCGCACAGTGAGGGAGCTGGGGACGATTTAATGGATCCCTCTTCTGATGAGGATGTATCCCAGTTTATGATAACCTCCCGGGCCCGTAAGGAGAAAACCACGCAGACTATTCGGGGAATTAAGGGCCGGGTCCAGCAGGTTGTGACTGCTTTTGAATCCGGACTACACAGGAAGCCAGAAGATGTCACGACAAAGAGCAAAGGCATGGACCCTGAACTGGTTCAAGGGATGAAGGCCTGGGAGGACGATGGTGATGGACATGACGAGGGTCAATTTGATGACTACAGGTCCAATCTTGTTGACCCAGTTATTGATAGTCGCAAACGCCCGCTGGGCGAGGTTGAAGGGGAGCTGGGAGTGGAGCCCAGCCCTAAAAAACAATTCGTGGAGGATGATGCTAATCAAGTGGAGGTAGCCAGCCAAAAGTGGCCCCAACCCGATAAATGAAGCTTCTCGCGTGGAATGTGAGAGGAATTGGGCCGTCCCTCACATTTCAAACTGCTGTCGGTTTAATTCGTTCTAATAAACCGGACCTTGTTTTTTTTTTCGGAAACAAGAGCGCGCCGGAGTGTCGTTTCCCATCGTATGCGGGGTTTAGGTTTTGATAATCCTCGATGTTTTTTTGTTGATGCTGTTGATTCGGCTGGTGGTCTTGTGCTGGCTTGGGCCCCCGAAGTTAATGCTTCGGTATTTTTTCATTCCAACTTCTGTATTTGTACTCAAATCAATGAAGTGGATTATTCTTATGTTGTGGTGTTCGTCTATATTAGCTGTGTTGAAGCTGTAAGAGTTCATCAATTGGCTCAGTTAGGAGAGATTTGTGAGAATTTCACTCTACCATTTGCGATCATAGGAGACTTTAATGTGACACTCCAAGCAAGCGAAAAAGATGGGGGCAATCCATGGAATGCTTCCCATGCCATCGGCCTTCGTGATTTCATCCATGACCTTGGCCTTCACGATCCTGGGTATCAAGGTGACTTGTTTACCTGGACGAATAAACGCATGGGGGCGGCTTGTATTAGAGAGCGCCTCGATAGAGCCTTGTGTTCCCAGAATTGGGTTGACCGTTTCCCTGATACTCTTGTTAAAAATTTTACGGATCAAGGTTCTGACCACCGAGCCCTGCTCCTCTCCGATAAACCATACGTTCGCCATAGTCGACCTCTCTTCAAATTTGATGCCCGTTGGGTGGATAATCCAGAAGTGAAGGCTATGGTCTCCTATGTCTGGCAGGAGGAGATACAAGGGACCCCTATGTTCCAACTGTGGGAGAGGCTCAAAAAACTCCGCCACTTGCTCTATGATTGGAGCAGGGCGGGTACTACTAATTCCCTCCGTAATATTAAGACAATCCAGGCGGAAATAGACCGTATCAAGTTGAACTTCCCCATTGACTGGGAGACGGTAAAACTGCTGGAATATGAGCTGAATAGGCAATGGGAAGCGGAGGAAGTGTACTGGCAGCAGAAATCGAGGGTCCACTGGTTAAAGAAAGGGGATAAGAATTCGGCCTACTTTCACACAGTTACAAGGGCTCGTCGTAAGCATAATTTTGTAGCGGGCCTTCGAAATGATGCGGGGGAGTGGATCACTGAGGAGAGAGATAAAGCAAATATTGCTTCAACCTTTTACCAAAATCTCTTCGCCTCAGAATGTCAGGTGCCTAACATGAGGGACCGCGTGGCCACTTTGCCGATTGAACGGCGGGTCACGGAGGAGATGAATGCTAATCTCACGGCTTTGGTCCTTCCAGAAGAAGTAAGAAGAACGGTCTTCTCAATGGGATCGAAACAAGCGCCAGGGTCTGATGGTTTCACTGGGAAGTTCTTTAAATCGGTTTGGAACATTGTTGGGGAGTCAGTCATAGCTGCTGTGTGCTCATTCTTCTCTACTGGTAGAATGCTGCGCAGTTTCAATCATACCTGGTTGACTTTGATCCCTAAAGTTGACAATGTGGAAAATATGAAGCAGCTTTGCCCCATTAGCCTCTGTCAGTTTGTGTATAAGATCATTACCAAGATTATGACAGAGCGACTGGCTGGATGGTTACCCAATCTTGTGTCGGCAGGGCAAAATGCTTTCATCCGTGAACGCCAGATTGTGGAAAATGTCCTCCTTGGACACGAACTGATGCACTACTTGAAAATCAAAATGCGAGGAAAGAAAGGGTACATGGCTCTTAAGGTTTACATGGAAAAGGCCTATGATAGAGTTGAATGGCCCTTTCTCCTGGCGCAACTGGACAAGTTAGGTTTCAGTGCTACGTGGCAAGGATGGATTCATGAATGTCTCCGGTCGAGTTCTTTCTCTGTTCTGATGAATGGTTCCCCTAGGGGGTTCTTCACAGCCTCGAGGGGGCTCCGGCAGGGAGATCCGTTATCTCCTCTCCTTTTTTTACTGTGCACGGAAGGGTTTGCAGCCCTACTCCGCAAAGCTATAGCGGAAAAGAGATTGGAAGGAGTTAAGGTGGCCCCTCGGGCTCCTCGGATCTCGCACCTTTTTTTCGCTGATGACTCATACCTGTTCCTACGGGGATCTCTCCAAGAATGCGAAAACATGATTTTGGTGCTTAATGAGTATGAGGAGCTTAGTGGTCAACGAGTCAATCTGGATAAATCAGCGGTTTGTTTTAGCCGTAATATTACCCTTCTGGATCAGGAATTCCTCGCCCAGATTCTTGGGGTACGGGCGGTGAGGGTCCATGATAAGTACCTAAGATTGCCTACCCTGATCGCCCAATCGAAGATGGATACGTTCAGGTATCTGGAGGAAAAATTACTTGCGCGCCTACAGGGATGGAAGCAGCGTACTTTATCTTGGGCTGCGAAAGAGACCCTGATCAAATCTGTGGCCTTAGCTCTCCCTTTACATGTTATGTCCTGTTTTCGTCTTCCTCTCTCGCTGTGCCGCTTATTAGATAGACATGTGGCCAGATTTTGGTGGGGAGTGACGAATGGAGAGTCTAAAATCCGTTGGATGTCCTGGCGTAATATGTGCAGAAGTAAGAATGATGGGGGGATGGGCTTTCGCCGATTTGAGCATTTCAATCAAGCGCTTCTGGCTAAAATTGGATGGCAGATCCTCAATGATCCCTCCTCCCTGCTGGCTCAGGTGTACAAGGGTAAATATTTCCCCAGGGGAGACTTCTTACAAGCCACTGCTCGCTCCCGCCCGTCTTGGGGCTGGCAAAGTATTCTTTTTGGTCGGCAGTTGTTATTGAAAGGCCTTCGGTGGCAAATTGGAAATGGGCTAGCCGCTCCGCTGTTGGAGAATAATTGGATCCCTCGGTTGCACCCGGAAAACCCAGTTTCTAATCCGTGTGTTATGTCTGGTGGGGGAAACCCGGTGGTGGCTGAGGTAATTGTCTCTGGTGAGGGACGGTGGTGTGAGGAAAGGCTAGGTCATTGGTTTGATCCTCTTACCTGTCGAGCGATTAAGGAGATCCCGCTTCCTCGCGGGAATGTTGAGGACCGGTTGATCTGGCATATGACGACTGATGGGGTTTTCACGGTGAAGTCAGCCTATCACCTGGCTGTTCTTTTGGATAAAAAAGACGGTCAGTGGAGGTCATCGGCTAGTTGGATGGATCGATCGAGTTGGATTAAGGTTTGGAATGCCCCTATACCCCCTAAGTTGCGCATTTTTCTTTGGCAACTTCTTAATCGGATCCTCTCGACGACAGAAGCCCTTATTGAAAAGGGTGTTGCTGTCCATCCTCGGTGCCCGGTTTGTTGGGCCGAGAAGGAGACAATGGAGCATCTGTTCCTTGAGTGTCCAGTGGCCATGGCTATGTGGGATTATGCGGGGTTGGAGTACCTGGGGCAAGCCCTTCCTAGGCAGACTTTTCCTTTGTTCCTTAAAAGGTTGTTGCTGTGTATTCATCACCCCCACCTGCTGATGGAAGTTGTTGCTTTCCTTTGGCGGATCTGGCGATCTCGTAATTGGGTTGTTTTTTAGGGCAAACAGTTTGGGTTCCCAGCTCTTATGCGTCAATTTAATCAGCAAGTTCAGGAGTGGGTAAACCTGCCTGGTGATGATTCAGTTCCTCGCATCCCTACAAGATCTAGCCTGCCGCCGAGTGCGGTCACTACTCAGGGGTCGTTCATTTGTAGATGGGATGGCGCTACAAGGCGTGGCTCGCATTCGACAGGTGGGATGGTTATCCTATCACCCGAGGGGTTGGTGATTGGGGCGAGAGGTGTCCAGTTTGGTGTCATTGATGATCCTTTGGTGGTGGAAATGCTCACACTCCGGGAGGCAATCTGGTGGTGCTCAAATTCAGGATTGACGACGGTACGCTTTGAAGGGGATGCTCTGGTGATAGTTGAAAAGCTCGCCCGGGCTGAGACCCGTGATAGCCGGATTGGTGCTCTTCTTGAGGAAGTTCTACATTGCTTATCTAACCAGCGAGGGTTTAGTGTTCGGTTTGTAGGTCGGCGTAGTAATAGGGTAGCCCACTTGGTGGCTCGAAAGACCCTTCTATTGTACCCGTCTGCAAGTCGGTTCTTTGATTTTCAGACCTGGCTCCGGGCCAGGGTGTAATTATCTCTTTTCTAATCAATATAAGATTATCTTTTGTTAAAAAATATATATATATAAACGATGGTCTAAGAGAAACAAGCATTTGATAATCAATCGACTTTGAGAAATGAACGATATGACTATATGTTTTTTGCTATCAAACACTCACTTCTTTCTAATGTATATACCTATCAAATAAAACAAGTATAAATTTTATAGCAAAATGTTTGAATATAAACTTTATTAGGAGGAGAATTAGTTGTAAACAGAATATTGTTATGATCAAAAGACCTGATTTGTATTTATGTTTCTAGCAATATTTATACATGGTTACAGAGGATACAGGGGTGTTTGTTGAGTGATTGAAGGAGGATGTACAGGAGAGTGGAAAAGTGGAAACGTGAGTAGTGGAGTGATTGAAGGAGGATGTACAGGAGAGTGGAGAAGTGGAAACGTGATTAGTGGAGTGAAATAAATAAATGAAAAAGAATTGTTTATTCTTTTTCTCTAACACGCCCCCGCAAGATGAAGGAGGTATCAACGACGCCAATCTTGGATCGAAGAAGAGTGAAGCGTGGTGCAGGCAGTGGTTTGGTGAGCATGTCGGCCAGTTGTTGAGCTGTGGGAACATAAGCAACGTGAAGGCGACCGGCTTGAACTAATTGGCGGACAAAGTGATAGTCGAGCGCAAGGTGCTTCATACGAGAGTGGAAGCGAGGATTGGAGCTGAAACTGGTGGCACCCAAATTGTCGGAGAAAAGCGTCGGGGAAGATGAAAGCGGATGATGGAGCTCCTTTAAGAGATTCTGCACCCATTCCAACTCGGCCGTGGCATGGGCAATGGCCCTGTATTCAGCCTCAGTACTAGATCGAGCCACCGTGCGTTGTTTTTGTGATTTCCAGGATATTAGGGTGGATCCCAAGTAGACAAGATATGCTGAGGTTGATGTCCGATCATCCTTGTCACCAGCCCAATCGGAGTCAGCAAAGGCAGTGAGACGGAGAGGAATGGAGGTGCGCCGAATAGCTAAGACGTAGGAGAGAGTACCACAAATGTAGCGTAGGAGACGCTTAAGACATTGCCAGTGGTTAGCGGTAGGAGCATGCATATACTGTGAGAGTTTGTTGACCGCGTAGGCTATGTCAGGGCGAGTGTAGACGAGATATTGCAGTGCCCCCAAAACCTGTCGATAGCGAGTGGCATCAGTGGGAGCAGTGCCATCACAGAGTGTGAGCGGCGCAGAGGAGGCCATAGGAGTAGAAATAGGAGCCGCATCCAGCATATGAAAACGATTGAGAATGTCAATCATGTAGCGATGTTGAGATAGAACATAGCCGGAGGCGGTATGAATGATCTCAATGCCCAAAAAATAGTTCACATCACCGAGTTCCTTGAGGGAGAACTTGGTAGCCAATGCCAGTTGAAAGGCAGAGAGGGTGGCCGAATCATTCCCAGTGAGCAAGAGATCGTCAACATAGATGAGGAAATATAGTGTAACCCCAGAACGATGATAGACAAAAAGTGATTCATCGGAATGGGACTTCCGAAATCCAAACTCAACAAGAAAGGAGCTGAGGGCAGTGTACCATGCACGAGGAGCCTGGTGGAGGCCGTAAATGGCACGGCGAAGACGACATACATGAATGGGATGATCAGGGTCAACAAAACCGGGAGGCTGAACCATATACACCTCATCATCGAGTGGCCCTTGGAGAAAGGCATTGTTGACGTCGAACTGCTTAATCGGCCAGTTATGAGACAGAGCGATGGTGAAAATGGTGCGTACAGTGACAGGTTTGATCACTGGACTGTAGGTTTCTGTGAAATCAATACCCGGGCGTCGATGAAAGCCCTTCGCAACGAGCCTGCATTTGAACAAATTGAGGGAACCATCGGAGTGATGCTTGATGCGGTAGACCCATTTGTTTCCGAGTACATTGAAGTGTGGTTGACGTGGAACAAGATCCCACGTGCGATTTTGGAGCAGAGCTGAGTGCTCCTTACGCAGGGCAGCATCCCACTCAGAGTACTGCATGGCTTCACGAACAGAGCGAGGTTGAAGAGGAGGTGAGCAGGTGGTGTAGTCCACGGTGAATAATCTCTTCGGTTTGTAGATACCGTCTTGGGCCCGCGTGGTCATCCGATGTGTACGAAGAAGTGGAGGGGGGGCAGCTGGCTGTGTGGTGGACGGGCTGGGCGAGGAGATCTCAAGCCCAGCCAGCGGAGTCGGCCCATGAGAGGAGGGCAGGCCTGTGTTGGCTGAAGAGGAGGGGATAGGCCCAAGAGGAACTGGCGGCCCAGGTGCGTCAGTGGGGCCTCGGTCGGCGGAAGAAGAGAGCAAAGGCCCAACTTGCGGGCCTTGGGCGGCAGATGAGTTGTGCAAAGGAGTCGTCGCGCGGGGGGAGCCGGGAGGGGAAGGGGGCGGACGTGCCATAGGGGGCGGAGGCCCATGCTGGGGGAGACGTACAATGGGCGGGCCTAGATCCAGCAGCCAAGACTCCACCGTTGGAGAAGCTGCAGGAAGATTAGTGGTGTAACCAGGAAAAGAATTTTCGACAAAACGAACATGACGTGAGTGAAATATACGGTGTGTGTCGGGATCAAAGCACCTATAGGCACTACGTTGCGGGCAGTAACCAATAAAGATGCAGGGACGAGAACGGGGAGCAAGTTTGTTGGGGGAGTAAGGACGTAACCAAGGATAACATAAGCAACCAAACACACGCAGTTTATGATAATTAGGAGCAAGATTGAAGAGGGAAGTGTATGGAACCTGTCCGCGCAAGGCAGAGGAAGGGAGGCGGTTGATGAGATAGATAGCAGTGGAAAAAGCAAAGGACCAAAAAGACGAAGGTAAACGAGCATGATGTAGGAGAGTGATACCCGTCTCAACAAGATGGCGATGTTTACGCTCGGCCAAGCCATTATGCTCAGGTGTATGAGGCGGTGTGAGAAGGTGGCTGATCCCATGATTGAGCAACGTGGAAGATAATTTTTGGAACTCACCACCACCATCAGAGTAGAGACGTCGAATGGTGGTGGAAAAATAATTTTCAACCATCTTTTGAAAAGCAAGAAACACGTGAAGAACATCAGATTTGCGTTTCAAGGGGTAATACCAAGTATAACGGGAAAAAAGATCAACGATGATTAAATAATAACTAAAACCATCAACGGAGGTGACCGGAGCCGGTCCCCAAACATCAGTATACAGTAAATCAAATGGACGAGTACTGGATAACGAAGAGTGTGCAAACGGAAGTCGGTGACTTTTATTGGCAAGACATGAGGGACAATGACTACTGACGGGAGAGGATGCTACTGGCAGAGAATGAGTGCGAAGCAGACTGGTGAGGGAAGAGGAAGATGGATGACCGAGACGAGCGTGCCAGGATGAGGAGGATGTGCACGTGGTTACTAGAGCAAGACGAACGGTGTCCACACCACGAGGCAGCTCATAGACGTCCCCATTATTTGCCCCCTTCATTAACGGCGCCCCCGTTGGAAGATCCTTCACAACAAAACAATCAGCAAAAAATTCCACCGAAATGGGATTAGTACGACATAATTTGGCCACCGAGATAAGGTTACGTTTAATAGCAGGAGCACAGAGCACATCATTTAACAGAAAGGAAGACCCGGAATGATGCAATGTAGTAGACCCAATGTGTGATATTTTCAAACCTGTGCCGTCGCCAACAAGTATCTCATCCGGCCCTGAGTAATCGGAATAGAGAGATAAATTGCCGAGGTCGGAGGCCACATGATGAGAGGCGGCAGAGTCGAGTAACCAGGGACTAGAGGATGACGCACGAGGAGCAGTCGTGTGGTGAGCCTGGGCTTGACGGGCCTGATAATCCTGACGAGCCTGAGGAAACAGCCGGAAGCTTTGGCAAACAGAGTGGCCCGGGCGCTCACAGAACTGGCAGATCACAGTGGGTCGGCGTGGGCCAGGAGCTGCAGAGGGCGGCCCATAGGAAGGGTCAGGAAATGGGCCTGAAGCCCGCTGGCCACCTGCTGCAGGACGTGGTGAAGAGGCCCGCGGGGATGGAAACCCTCGCGGAGAGCGCGGGTTGTGAGAGCCGCCCGAAGAAACGCCGCCGCTGCGCTGGCCCTGTGAATAGAATGTCGTCGGGACAGTCTGACGCACGCAGGCTTTGAGGTCAGCCTCATATTCGACCAGCGAATCAACCAAATCCTCGAGACAGAGGCCAGGCCCCCGAGCACGAATAGCAGCAGCAAAGGCAGCGTATTCCTCGCCTAACCCGCGAAGACAGTAGACGACGAGATCAAGGTCGGAGACAGGTTTGCCGATGAGGGCGAGTTCCTCAGCCGTGCTCTTAAGATCAGTCACAAACGTGAGCACATCTCGGTCCCCTTTTGATGTTTTGGCCAATTTTCCTTTCAAGTGTATGACGCGGGACTGAGCATTGCTCGCATAGAGCTTTTCAAGAATCAACCACGCAGCCCGTGACGTAGAAGCGGCAGAGACAAACGAGTAAATAGATTCAGAAATCGAGCAACGCAGGGCGTGCAGAATTAATTTGTCTTGCCTGAACCAGTGCTGATATTGAGGATTGGGCATCTCGTCAGAACCAACCAGAATCGTGCGAGGAGGAGCGACGGTGGTACCATCGATATAGCCAAAGAGATCAAGACCCATGAGCAGGGTGTCCAACTGAGAGCGCCATGAGGCGAAGTTGGTAGAGGTGAGCTTCAGGGGAAGCTGAGCCGCCGGGTTGAACGTGATGACGGCGGGAACCTCAGCCGAAGTGGCCGTGTTGTCAACAATGGAGCTACCAGACATGGTGATCGTAAACAGAGAAGGAGAAAGAAATTGCAGGGAGAAGAATGGCCTGCCAAAAGATAGGCTTGGAAAAAAAAAACGAAAGGAACTCTGTGGATTTGCTTTGAGAAGAAAAGGGAATTTTTGGGATTGCAGGAGAAGAGAGAAGATTGGATCGACTAGCTGAACTTGGCTAGCTCTGATACCATATTAGGAGGAGAATTAGTTGTAAACAGAATATTGTTATGATCAAAAGACCTGATTTGTATTTATGTTTCTAGCAATATTTATACATGGTTACAGAGGATACAGGGGTGTTTGTTGAGTGATTGAAGGAGGATGTACAGGAGAGTGGAAAAGTGGAAACGTGAGTAGTGGAGTGATTGAAGGAGGATGTACAGGAGAGTGGAGAAGTGGAAACGTGATTAGTGGAGTGAAATAAATAAATGAAAAAGAATTGTTTATTCTTTTCCTCTAACAAACTTGACATAGCAATAATTGTTATTTAAAAAAAAACTTATTTATTCCGATTAAATGAAAACATATTAATTACCAATGCTAACTTTTAATTTGTTTCTGTCCCTTTCCCCATTTTGATTGTCTCACTAGAAATAATATCCAACTTTGAAAATAAGAAATCAAGAAAGTATGTCAACCACCATAAAGATAAACAAAGCCCTCTTATTAGTTGCTAATTTTTTTTTAGATTTCTGATATTTGTATTCTCATAATTTATAGAGAAGGAAATGGTAATGCATATGATTTTATTTTTCTTTGTATGAGAATAGGAGGCACGAGTTACACGAGGCAAAGATTAGATGACAAAATTTTGAGCAGTTGTAACATATTTTTGCATGTTAACGAAAAAAGTTCATCAGATCATTATGAAGATGAGGTGAACCAAGTCGAGGGTTGTCGACTGCTCCCTCTTCCTCCTTGATCTGAAGCTGACAACTGGTCTCACTTTCTCAGCGATATGTTATTGTTTGCGGTTGACTGGCCGAGTTATACTCTTCTTCCCATTCTTTTCTTAATTTCTTCCAAATTACGACTGTTGGATGGTAAATTTTCTCACTCTCGATGAGTGAATGTATTTCTTCTTTGTTTTTCACGGAGAAGGGTCGCCACATACTTTTATTTAAATATATAAAATATAATTAGAAGGGCTAATTGGTTGGACTTAGGGCATACCTCCTTTGGTTGAATAATTGATCGTTTTTCTTGAATGCCTATTGCAACCCGATTTCTTGAATGTTGAAATGGAAAGTAGAGTTGTGATGGTTGTTTATTATATTTTATGTTCACGATTGACATGCTACTAGCTAGCAATACAATGATGATCTGTTTAGTAATTAGTAGGTAGCAAAGAGGTTAAAAGTAGAAGGGAACATAATTGGGGTTTTATAAAGGTCACGAAGAAGAAAGAAAATGATAATGGTGGTTTCTTTGTTGTCTATTTCGATGTTTTTAATTTCTACATGTTTGCGGTGACATTTGTTTATTTCATTAAGGTGAATTTTTCCGCATTGAATCCCTAACTAAAGCTTGATTTTGATATGATTGTTTTCTTACAATCTACTATTTGGATTCATGCATATATTCAGTTCACAAATGAGGAACCTGCATGATAAAAATGAGTTGAGTTGTATTGAAGGCTGCTCCTTTCATTATTTGTCTATGTTGTTATTAGGTAAAAAACACGATTCTTTTATGCAGGAGATATGTAGCTCCGTACAAAATATAAATTGTGTTTTAAGTATATGCAGTTTAATTTGCTGAAAATATTGCTTTAATAAGTTAGTGACAGCTGATAGTTTTGTTTGTGGTTGGTTTTGTTAGAACATTTCAAGGTAATTAAACGAGTACGTGGAAGATTGATGGACGTGGATGCTAATGAGTTTCCTCATTATTCCAAAATTGTATGTGTAAGTATTAATACACGATATTCATGGGATTTAGATCGAAATATTCTCTATTATCATATACCGACATATGAGAAGGGAGAGAAAAAAAGCTCTTCGCTTATTTTTTTATTAATTGAAGTATATTTTCTTATTCTAACTTTTTCTTTTGTGGCTGTAAATTTTTTAACTTCTTTATCACAATTGTGTGCTAAAGAATGAATAACTCTTATGTTTACAATCTTAAAGGGCGAGTTCGATAAAAAAAAATTCTAAATCTATAAAGAACAGTCTACAAAGAGCTCAGTTAATAAAATTAAAATGTTCATAAATAAACAAAAGATATAAAGGTATGAAACAATACATGAAATAAGGTAAGTGGGATTTACAATTCCATGTATATTACCTTAATAAACATAAATACTAATAACAATTATAATACTATAACGAATTATAAAATAACCAAACAAAATACACCGCCCAACGGGCGGGTAAAAAACTAGTGAAACTAATGAGAAAAATACTTTGACCGATGGCTAATATTTAGTCATGGGAGGGCAAGTTATAACAAGTAATAAATATTGTGACTAGTGGTTGACGGCTAGTCCCTAGAATCAATTTTTTCACTGTAACTGTTGTATTAAAGGAGCACATCTCATCTCTAAATGTGTTTTTTCCCCTAAGGTTTGTGCTAAAAATATGAGATTAGTCATGAGTGTCACATAATTAATAGGTACAAACAATCATGAGAAACTATACCATGATTAGTTATAACTAACTAGTCACATATTTCTCGTGAGTCGTGACCTCTACAAATATACACAAATGTAAATATTACGGTAATTTTCTCTTGACTAAAACTATTTAAGACGAAAAACACACTTTCAAGCACAATATTTTTAATGATTAAAGCACCCTTTTCCCTGTAGCGTTCACAACAGAATCCAAGTGGCGGCTCCACTTATTTTTATATGCCGGTTTCAATTACAATTATTAGAGTTGTGTCAGAGGTCTCATATTAAAAAATTTGGTACCAACAGAGCATCGATTTTTAGAAAAATCCCGGATCGCTCTAGTTTACTTCGTCTTTACCACCATAATATAATCTTATATACTATCAAACTTTACCCCCTTAGTATACAAAGGCAATATATACATCAATTTTTCGTTGTAAAGTGGGTGTCAATTTTACAAGTATGATTAATCTGATTCTTTGTGAAATAAAATTTTCAGTTCTAAATTGAAAGAAAAGAGATACGGTTCGTTAAATCTACTAGAGAAAAAATAATATGTAGTATTGGTTATTCATGGAATCCATACCCATTAATCATTATTGACACAACTCAATTGCTTAGAATAGAAGTTCGAGTCAGTGAGCAAGAATTGGTCCGGTTCATCACTCTATATGTACGTATAATGCGTAAAATACATCGGGTACCACTTAAGTTTCAGAATTGGGGTAGAAATATCACTTAAGTTTGAATAGGGCGTCGAGTACCATTAAAGTCACCAAAATGTGCATCCGTTTAGTTTTCCATCCAACCCAAACTTTTAATTACTTTTTGGTACCCAAAACTTTTAAAATCATATAAAACTATATTTCAACAAGTTTTTATCTAATATAAAAATTAGAAAACCTTCTAAACGTAGTATTACTAGAATGGCTAATCAAAATATTTAAATAAAATAGATAAATTAGTAAAAAAAATAAACGAATATCAAGAAGAATAATAAATATACTAGAAGATAATAATAAGTATTTAAAATCAATATTAGAAGATCTAGTTAAACTTCTAACAATAAGAAGCACCAGTAAAAACAATTAAAATAAAAGCTAATCGATCATCAATACAACAAGACCAAAGAAGGATAAATGGACACAATCGGAAAAAATTGTACATATTCCAATAATTGAAAAAAATTTAGAATGAAAAGAGACATGAAGTAACCTATATGGAACATCTACAATATAATATTAGAGAATTAAAAGGAGATTTAACATGGAAAATTAGGCAACATCAACATGATATGTAAGAGAACTAAATATAAAATTCTCAAATTATTTATGTCGAGATAGAATTTAAAGGATATATTTGCTTCAGGAAATTATTCAATTATTAGAACACATAATAATAATTGATTCTAAATTTCTTATTCAAAAATTGTTTTGGTATAAGACTCTTCAAAAGATGATTCCAACTAAACAAAATTCATAGGATATATTTGCTTAAGGGAATTATTCAATTATTAGAAAATATAATGAAAATTGAAAATACTTATAATAATAATTGATTCTAAATTTACTATTCAAAAGTAAGTTTAGTATCTAAGTTTCAAAAAAGGATTCCCACTAAACAATAAAAAATGATGTTTTTCATAAGTCCATAATTTTTTTTAATAAGCAAAGTAAAAGGAGCAATTATGAAATTAGAAAACAAAATATTCCATGAATATTCTGTCAACTTTAACGGAATGCACTTGATAGTAAACTTAAGTGATACCAGGTGCACATATAATAAAGTTCAGTAGTACGCGATGTCCTATTCTTAGTTAACTGATATAGCTTCACCAATTTTCATACTTTAATGTACCCAAGATATTTTACTCTATGTATAGTCTTATACTAAATTACTAATACTAGTCATCAGAGAGCGCATGGATTGGGTGGGGAGAGATTTAACCGTACCGACCACAAAAGATTGAAAGAATACCAGCCACAAAAGGTTTAGGGTTAGAATTAGAAGTTAAAAATCAGCCGCAGCTTTGGTACTATAAATAAAAAAGCGTAGTAGTTCTTTATCTCGCTAGTTCGCCGCCGAGTCTACCCATCGATCTGTTTTCCCAAGGCGCGCAACTGATACTGATCGGAACAACAATGGCGTTAGGCACTCCCATCAGCAAACTGGGAGACGATCTCCTTGAAGAAGTTCTCATTCGCAGCTTCCCGAATCCAAGATCCGCCTGCCGCAGCAAACCTGTATGCAAGCGGTGGAACACCCTCATCTCTAACGCTCGCTTCAATCGCCGTTTCGTTTCTCACCACCACCACGACGACAGGAACGGAGCAGAATCACCACCACCTCGAATTCTTCTCTCGAAGGACGACCCCCTGCCATCGCTCCTGCGTTGCTTTCTCCCCGTACCCGACGGGCTTCGATCCCACTTCATAATCTGGGATTCCTTCAAAGACTTGCTTCTGTGCGGATTTCAGAAGACGCGGGGCGAACTGGACAGGTTGTTCTTGATTTGCAATCCGTTCACGAAGCAATGGGTCGCCCTTCCTTTAGCGCCCGGAGTTTCCGAACACAGGTCGTACGAAACGAAGGAGATCAAATTGGTCTGCGAAGAAGCTCGCAACAGTTTCGATCTCGGTGATGGCCAAGTGTTTGTGTACTCCGATTTTCATCGATTCCGCGTCCTGTGCGGATATGCAACGGAGGAGGAATATTTCGAAACCCGGTCAGAGCTGCACGTGTTTTGTTCCGAGTCTCGAGAATGGTCGAGGATAAAGGGTGTGCATCTTCGACCTAAGGCAACGTGTTTGGATGGGAAGTTGTATTGGGTGCAGCATGGTAGAGAAATTTTGAGGTTCGATCCTTTCAACCCAACTATACATCCAACCACTATTCCTGATATGAATTTCAGGACGACTTCAGTTTGTTCCCTTTTATCGGCCTCGGATGGTGCTCTTTACATATCTCGATGCGAAAAGGAGTATGGTGCGCTTGATGATTCGAGGTTCCCATTGGAAGTTGTCAAAGTTTGGAGGTGGGAAGAAGGCAGCATGACATGGAACATATGCTATGAAGTGGATTTTAAGACGCTAAAATGCAATAGCGACATTGAAGTAGCTGAGGGCTTTGGAATGGCTTCTTTGCTTGCTCAACATTCAGAACACCCGGAAATTTTTTTCTTAGAATATTGTGGGTATGCTCAAGAAGAGACTTTCATTTTATCGTGTAACTTGAAGACGAAAGAATTAGAGTTCGTTCCTGATCAGATGCCACATATTTTTTGTGGTCGCTGGATGGTGTTACAGCCTAGGATTGCTTGCTTCTCTACACCAATTCCTAGCTATGAGAAACTGCTAGACATGTGTGACAGAAACCTCAGTGATTTGATTTCCGAGTAAAAACTCAGTTTAGGAGTTGGTTTGGAGAATATATTTTGGAGCATTCATTTATAAAATTCTATTGATTTGGAAAGAATCATATTCTCTACTCCTTTTTTATTTTATTTTTGTAATATTAATTTTAGTTTTATAGATTTCGAATCTTTAGATTTTTTTTTCCTGAGTGATATCAATAGAGGAAAATAGTTAAACTAGGGCTGGTAATCGGTCGGTATCCGGTGTACCGGATACCGATTAGCCGGTATTTGGTATACCGGAACCAGACAGTGTACCCACCGAATACCGATACCGAATGTTATCCGGTATTAATACCGGTATACCGAATACCGGTTAATGCATTGAGATTATGTTTTCGAGCCGGTATACCGACTTAATACCGATACCAAGTGGGCTGATTTGGGCTTTTTGTTCTTTTTATTTTTCTGAATGTTGTTTAATTAAATGATGTAAATAGTTTTGTTTGTTTATTAATTATTACTGTATTATATTGCTATCGTCTAGCAAGTTTTATTAATCAACTATTCACTATTAGTTAATAGTAATTAGTTAATTAGTTGTTTATCTAATAGACCCTTACAGCTTACAAATACATCTCACTTATAATGAACGATTTACCAATAGTCCAATACTCCATTAGGCAATGTCATTGTTAATGTCAACTACATTCTACACAAGTAGTTAGTAGATAAATATAGCATTACTACTACATAAGTACATAGTCTCAAATTCTGCTACGCTGCCGTTTTCTCTTTTTTTTTTTAAATTCGGTATTCGGTATAAATGAATCGGTATTCGGTATAAGAATGTAGTGGTTACCAAGGTGTGCATATAAATAAAGCACATCATTGTATCAAAAGAGATATAATGAATAAGAAGAACTCTTCTCCTCTCTTCTCTTGTATCTTTCCCTCTCTAATCTTCTCTTGTAGTTGTTTATATTTTTAATTAGTTTCATAACACGTTATCAGCATGAAGCTCTGCCAAAATTATCATTGCTAAGATCACAATATCTAAGATATTGGAGTAAGATCACAATATGATCAAGGTATGTAAATCTTATATCCTTTCTTATCTTATTGTCTTATTAGTGTTGAGATTATCTCATTCCAATATATCAAGATGGGTGCTACTCTTTTCTCGTATCCATTGATATTTTATCACATCAATCTATTTGGATTAACAAGAAAAGCAATATAAGTGATGAGTTAATTTTTCAGTTCTCTGTGTTATCCTATTCTTATCAATCCCACATTGATATGTAGAAAATGCAAGTTCCAAGAGCCCATATATTCAACAGAAGTGGAAATTGAAGAATTCAAGGGCAAAGAAAGAAAAGAACATGGTAATAAGAATATTGGTTTTGTATGTTACCATTGTAATGGAAAAGTGTGTTTGTCTCGTACCTGTTGTACGCAAAAGACTTTATTCTACCAAGAATCAAAGAGAAGAGCAAATTCAAATATGCTCATGCAATATCAATATTATGGAATATAATTTTTGTAATATCAGTTGGTATATTCTCTATTAAAGATGAAAATGATATTGCACTTAAGACATTTTCATTCCTAGAAGTGAATGAAACAATCTATTCCCCGAAGTGAATTCCCCGTAGTGAATGGAACTATAAACATGATTATATATATATGTTAAATGTATTGTTTGGATATTTTCACCAAAAGTGAGAAAAGAGGAGAAAAAGGAGAATTATAAATAAGTATGACACAATAATTATATTATCAAAGTCATGATAACATAATGTACCTATTGGACATTGAAATGTATAATGAAAGACATACATATTTATTTTTATCAATGTTGAAGGCATATATAAATTTAAAATCACCTAGTTAGTGGTGGTATTGTTCCAAATAAAGCTTATTTAAATTTTCACAATTGTAGTATTATGATTCTTATTTTCTATTATGTTTTATTGTGCCATTATTTTCATGCATAATTTAACTTGATAACTTTTATCTAGAACGATTAACTTGATAAGTTCATCATTTTTGTGTGAAGTTTGAAATATTCTAATTTATTATTTTAGTATAATTTTGTAAAGTATGATTGTTAGAAAAATTTCATATAAACTATATGGCAGAGTACATAAATGAGAAAAAGCTTCTGAAGAGCTTATGTTTGGTTACTTGAAGTAACTAAATTATGTACTCGTGATAACAATTTGTGATGATATTCACTATGAATTTGTGTTTACCAAGAATGCATCAAATCATAAGTCCCCGGAAGGTCGAAATATGGTACAAAATATGGTAAAGTTCTAAAAGAGCTAATGTTTTGTGGTCTGAAGGACCCAAACTGCCTAGTGATGATGCATTACCCAATTAAAAGGATATTCGTAAAATGAATATCTTATCAAGAAAATAGTAAAACTAATATTTGCATCACAAATATGTACTACATGTATATTAGTACTATCAATACACATAAAAGTGTAAACCAAAAGTTTACAAGATTTGATAACTTGATAATTGGTTAGTCCGGTTAGACCATCCCGGATCTTGACGTGAAAAAAAAGTTCTTTGAGAATTCATAAGAACATCATATGAGAAGTCAAAGAACTCTTCAACTAAAAGAGTTATTATGTCATGTTTGTTCTCAAGGAGAATTGAACAATTGATCATCGCTTGTATAAGAGTTGACAAATCTCTTGAGATTTTATGGATGTGTATGCAGAACAATACATCAGTCATGTAGATCATTTGTGAATTTTATGGGTTGCTGCATCAAATGGATGATCACATGTATTTTATCTAATTGCAACCCGATGTTTGCGAGATTGGTTGCCTCACTATGAATACATTTTGATGGTTATCCAATCAAACATCACTTTGCTTAATAGAACAAGCTGAGCCTTCTGGTCTCTAGTCGAGGACATGCTAGCTGACAAGTGATAGTATTGGTTCACATCTAACCAACAAGTTATCATAAGTTCCCCCCTTTTACAAATGGTTTTTGTAAGAAACCTAACATTTCTCATATGAGAATACCATGGTGTGCCGCATACATCCCAATTGCTCCACCACAGTATATTAAGTTGATTCCCGTTGGAAATTGAGAATTTGTGTTGGGTATGAATCCCGAATGGGAAATTTGTTTGCGAAATTATTGTTTTGATGGATTACTTTTCCAACATTAAGGGGGAGAGAGAAAAAACAGCTAGACAAAGAGATGAGTTAGAATGAGTTATCATTATCTAGTTTTAATCCTCAAATTAAGAAACATGAACCTGAAGTTCATAAGATGAATTATCATTACCAACTATCAAATGTATTTACTGACCATACAAAGTGTCCAAGTCATATATACTAGCCGTGACTGCTCCAACTAAATTTGATATCCTTGTTAGATACTCTAATATAAAAAATGTGTCTAAAAAAGCGCATGAAGCGTGATAGACCAATCGGTTCCAACGATAAACATCCTCGAGAAAAAAAGGAGCTGTGATTAGAATCGTCAACTCGAGGACATGAAAACTCAAGAAGAGTAACCAAGAATTAAGTATAATTTTAGTTCCAAAAGAACACATGTCTATGAAAGTTGTGAAAGTGAAGAGATCTCAAAAACATATTAGACTACAATACTGGGACCGTAATGAAATCATTGTCGATGAAATTTGTTTGTTGTACTTCAGTACTGAATATGATATGTACAAGTGAGGATCAAGAGTAAAACTCTATTGATGCATACAAATGATAATGTTATTGGCCAATATAGAAAGAAATCACGAAACTTGCTCAAAAAGCATAAAGTTTAAGGACCAGAAGTCCTTACACCTGAAAAGGGTAAAAATAGCGGGATACAAACAAATTTTTATGTTATTGGAAAGTATGAAATTGTAAGAGATATAGTACAATGTTTTGCAATAGGTTTCACGAAGAGACCTATCATTGTTTAAGAAGAGTTATGCTCCTCTGTGGTGGATGCAACTACTTTTTCAAATCAATGTTTAAAAATTGTTGTGATAGCCTATTTGTTTGAATTCTCTGAAGATGTTATATATATTTGAAACTCCCAGAAGGATTAATTACTCCTATAAGGATTAATTTACCTGAAGTAAACAAATAAAGTTCTCGAGAACATATATCGATAGACTAAGAATATTTCCTGTATGGTTTGAGAAAATATAGACGAATGTGAAATACTAGTCTAAGTGAACACCTACAACAGTAGGGTGAATGGACCTTAAAAGTTTAAATCCGGATAGAGTCATTAGAGCATTTGCATTGTGCATATATAGTTGTGTTGTCTGTATGTGCTTCAAGGATTTTAAATTCTTGATTTATGAGTTGTGATTTACTTTAAAGTATGAGTTGTGTTTTATGGGTGTGCTTTGTCTAGTTCATATGTTTCTATGATGTGTGTTTTGTTAATATCTTTCGTGATATGAAAAAATTGTTTGCTTCAATTTGTTTTAGTCAAGTTTTTTTTTGTGACGATCTCATATTATGTTGATGATATGTCTATTATTGGAGCTCATTAAGAGTTTCCTAAAGCAGTTGATTGCTTAGAGACATAAGTTAAATTGAAGGATTTAAGATCCTTTTTATGGGAAAGGAAGGTAATGTTGAAAAAGTGGAAAAGTAATTTTGCATGAACAAATTATGTTCATCAAATAACATTAGGATCCTAAGATCACTAGAAGTGATCAAAGATCCATTTAGGCATCAAGAAAGAAGTGAGACATTAGGTCCCGAAGTACTTTATGTTGATGTACTAGGTCCTGAAGTACCATATGTTGATGCATGAAAGCACCAATGCACATTGCTAGCCAAACACCATATAAACTATCATTTTGGTGTTGATAATATTAGCAAAATACAATGTTTTCCTCAATGGAACATTGGAAATACTTTGTTAACTTCAGGAACAATATATGCGATTGTTCTATTATGCTATTATCAAAGAGAGATTTGGTGAACTATATATCCAAATCCTATATATTATTTGATCCTCATATTGGTTGATCAGAGACGAGTTATCTCTTACATATGGCGATGTGATTGTTTCATAGATATCCACAACAAACTATTGTAGGCAAGTCCTGAATGTATTTCGTTACACTTTGTGATTCATCATATCTAAAGGACTTGTGGTTGTAAACTATTTCTAAAGGAAATGATCCTGATGATCATGTATAAAGAAAATCTAAAGATCATGCATAAGATTGACAATCTAGAAGATTATTCACTAACTAACTCCCGGCAACAATCTTTCTAAAGGTTGTTCGTGAAATTTGAGTTCAACGACTCAAAGATTTGAAATGATGTGGTCATGAGGGGGAGCATATACACACTGCACTCTTTTTCCCTTCACCATGGTTTTTCCCACTGGGTTTTCCTGGTAAGGTTTTTAACGAGGCAGTATGAGATAGCGTAATGCAATCTAGTGGGCATCCAAGGGGGAGTATTATGTAATATTGATATATGGATGACCATTGCCATTACAACATTAGATGCTCACTTGGGAGTTACATGTAACCCCCATTCCTACATTTGATAGCTCCTTTATGTTTCATTATCTCTCAATGATATAAGGATGTAGTGGTTACCAAGGTGTGCCTATAAATAAAGCACACCATTGCATCAAAAGAGTTAGAATGAATAAGAAGAACTCTTCCCCTCTCTTCTCTTCTCTTGTAGTTGTTTATATTTTCCATTAGTTTCATAACAGTTAGACGTTTATATTTCAATTCTTCAAACTTTACCTTAATTTTCTAACAACTACTTCTTAGTTTCGAATATGAGAATGTAATTCCCATTTGTTATCAATGTAGTCAAAATCACGTTTTGAAGATTAAAACTTACACTTTTGCGCTTATAGCTCACTCACCAAAATGTTTCTACGTAGAATCACGTTTCGTAACTAATAAGTCAAAATCGCGCTACTAATCATAATAATAATGATGCCAATAAAAGAAAGAGCTCTATTTTTATCAGAGCAGGTATCTGGGTGATTAGGGTTTGAAAGTTAATGTCGTCCCTTACATGGCGGCGGCGATGGTAACGCTGACCTCTCCTACCCTAGTGGCCAGTGGGGGAGAATAAACCACCTAATCCGACTGGTGGTATTTAACGGCCTACTGAAGTATCATCATCTCTGGATGGAAAGAAAGAGAAGGAATTCCAATATCCAAAGAAAACGGGTGCTTGCGAAACGAATCACCATGCTATGGGCGAAAATCGAGATTATTAAGATCACCAATAAATTGCACGGATACTACGGGCCTGTTTACTTTCATTTCTGTTTCCTGTTTTTGAGAAAACAGATGTTGAAAAAAGGTGAAAACAACATTTTGTCGTTTCCGAAAACAGCAAGAGGTTGCGACTTTCTGTTTTCATAGATGGAAACGAATAGAAAACAAATGAAAAGTAAACAAGTTTTCTCATTTCGGTTGCCACATTTATGACATGAAAACAGAAAATAGAAAACAGGAAACGAAAATGGAAGTGAACAGGGCAATTCACACTGTGATTATTCCAATTTCCAAGGCCCTGGATGCAATGAAGAAGGATACCCCCAGCTACGGGATACCCTGAATGGGTCATTTTCTATTCATGTCAATGTTTCACATAGAGGTTATTATGTCAACAATAATGTCGTTGCCCATGATAAACTTAATTTTGTTACTCCTCAGTTTGCTATAATCAGCATAGTTTTTAGTTCACTGTTTTATTGGGATAATTGCATGGTTGGTCACTGAGATTACAAAAAACTTTCAAGTTTGGTCACTCAAAATATTTAAATCCATTGGTGGTACTTCAGTTTACTGAAACCGTTCACGTTTGGTCACTCTCCGTCCAACTCCGTTAAATTTGGCTGATGTGGGAGTCAACTCTCAAAGTTGATCGTTAACTTAGTGACGTGGCAACTAAAAAATTATTAAAAATTTTAAAAAATAATCTTTTATATTTTCCAACTCATTATTACATTTATTAAAAAATAAAAAAAATAAAAAATATAATTTCTTTTCTACAAACCCCCATACCCTACCCGACCCAACCTCCATCGCCGCCGCGGAATCCGACCACCATAGCAACACTCCCCACCACCGCCACCCAACTCTGACTCCTGCCCCATCCCCATCCCCGGCGTCGCCTTCAATCCCTCCTCCTACTCCTCCGCCGCCCTGCACCGGCGACATCCAATTAGAGGGTAGAGCCAAAAGCAACCCCATCCCGTTTTTGCCAAAATGGCCGACCTCAACGACGATTCCATTCACATCGAGAAGCTCTACGAGTACGACGAGCGCCCCATGTGAAATCTAGGGTACCGCATACCTTGAGTATGAAAACACTATCTAGACCTCGAAATAGCAGAATTTTTGGATTTGGTACTATACCCTAACCCTTAATGAGTGAACCATAGGTTGTAATTGTCTAAATCATAAACTATAAACCCTTAGACGGAGCATTCATTTTTCCCCTATATTTGGACGAATCATAGCCATCGATTTTTTTTAATTAAATTGATCTTGGGATATAAGATTTAGGGAACTAAGACCTAGATTTTGATCTTTAAGGGTTAAGGGTTAGAGTATAGTATCATGTCCAAAATATCAATCAATCCAAGGTATGGATGGCATTTTCATACTCAAGGTATGCGGTACCCCGAATTTCACCCTGTGTACCGTAGAACTCGCCATATATATTTATATTTATATGTGAAAACTCATTCTTCTTGTGTGGCTTTGTAAGATGTCAAACGAAGAAGAAGTTAATCAAGATGCGACAGAGGAGGCTACTCGCGTCCACCAATAAGAATACGACCTCCTCGCCCACGACAAAGGGCAAGGGGTTTTCATGCACACCTTGCAAGTTGACGACAATGGTGTTGGTAGGTTAGGTCCTTACTTGATCCAATCACGAAGTGGTCATGTAATTCGACTTGATCGCTACCCGCTCGGTCAAGGGAGACTACTATACAAGATGAATCTTCCTTCCACTACGTTCTTCGTGCACAAGAAACGTTCCATAAAACCAGTGAGTTCCTGGCCTCAAAATGAAGCAGATTTCAGCGGATGGTTCAAATGGCTTCAGAAAGATTTGACAACAGCGCACTTGTGGACGACCTCCGGTATTTGGAGATTGATATCCCTCTGCACCGAAATTGGAGAGCCAGACTTTGCTCTCTTTAAAGCGGCCTTGTGTTTCTTGTCCACCGCCTCTTACTGCTTCGTCTTCCCAGTTGGGACCATGACGATTACCCTCGTGGACGTCACTGCTCTAGCTGGTCTTGATTTTGAGTCATCAATTGTGTCTCGCCTCGAGCTTCCCGATAACACAACGCCCTTCCCCCATATGTCTTTCCAAGCATTTCGCCAACAATATCAACCTTCCGATGCCAAAACCCCGGTGACCCAAGAAGAGCGTGCAACATTCATCCACTTCTGGCTCTATAAGTTTATCATCTGTCCCAGCTTAGGTGTACCTCGCCAATCCTTGAGTGATCTTTCTCATAGACTTTCCGCGGGGTGGTGTGGTCGTGACTTTGAAGACTTCATACTAGCTCAAATTTACCATGGTATGCATACACTTCATCACCAAATTTCTACATATGCTACCAACACTGGTTCTGGCCCTTTATGGCTTGTGCTCATATGGATCTACGCGTACTTCCCAAGGTGACGTAGTTATCTTGATAGTCTAAACAAAGCTGACCCAGATGATCTGCCAGATTCCTATGGTCACTACTTCATCAAGGCCTAAGCGTTGGATCGAGACTTTGTCGATTGCTTCTCATAATTTTATAGGCTCGGCATGATACCTTCCTTTTCTCCCTTCTCGCGGCGTCTCCTTGGATCCAAGTCTTTTACCACCAAATTTAAGGAGAGACCACAAAGTCCTTCAAGGCCCTACGAGAAATTTATTCGTCAATGGAAAAGATGGGTACAACCTGAAGATCTAGTGTTCACCCCCATTGGCAGCAGGTTCCCCACCTCCGAAGTCTACAATCCTCACTATGCTTCTCTATCCAATTCGGCCTTGTCTAGTCTGGCCTTTGACTATGCCACATTCACCTCAACTCGCGGATCCCACCATTCGAGCACTTGCGTAGTGATGAAGCACACAATTTGAAGCTATGGCAAGACAAGCTCCTAGCAAACGTCAAATTTAGCTTCTTCAAGCACTCTGAGAATCGGACTTCAACGATCTATTCCAAATTGCTTCTAAACAAGTTGGAGGCATTCGAACTCTTAAATATTGATGCGATCCAGATAGCACAAGGCTTACTACCAAGCAAACCGAAGACTATCCCCTCGGGAGGCCGAGGCTCAAATCGCGACAAACAAGACAAGGGAAAATAGTCGTCTACATCCAAAGTAGCCGTCAAACGTCGTTAATGTAAGTGTCCTCCTAGTTTATCTTTAATCCTTTTCCTCTCTTTTTTTATACATATGTATGTGGCCTTTTGATGTCTTCTTCTTACTTTCCTTACAAAACTTAAGGAAAATGAATCCCCACCAAGGCCACCAAAATGTATCCAACCCCAGGAGAGTGAGCAAGTAAGTATCAAGCTCCATCTCATACTCTTAACGTGGTACTAGTCTCCATCATGGCATTTGTAGTAAAAAATGGTGGAGCTGCGTGATGAATCCCAAGATGCGAGCACGGAGACCCATGAGGAAGTTAGTGAAAAGGTTCGCCGGCCAATTAGCATGGAAGACTCTGACTCAGGCGGAAACTTCTCTAAGATAGATTCTGAGGATCAAGAAGAACCTAATCGCTCCAACCCTCACCTCATCATGAGCCAAGCAACTAGCCTTCTAGCCATTCCTACGACGAAGCCAACTACAACTCAAACCCCTCCTGACAAACTCGGATTTGGGAGCTTCGTGACTAGGCATCTCATTACCTTAGAAGGCACAAGTGGTGTCATCGTGTCTGAGTTGTTCACCACCAGCCAAAATGCCTTCGCTTTAATCGCAAACCCCTTGGTCTCTATCCCAACCAATGAAGAGACTATTGAAGAATTAGAGGAGACAAGGGAAAGATTGGAAGCAATGACGAGGGACACCACCACTCCTGTTGAGGAAGGATGCCATGCTAGCCCCGTTGATATTCCACCTATTACTCAAACGAGTAACGCTATTGACTTGGTAAGCAAATCTATCTTTTCATCTGTCTACTCCCAATTCTATGTCATGTCATAACGGGACTTCACCTTTTGTTGCAGGGCATGGCTAGTCTTGATGACAAACTTGCATATCTAAAAGAATTTGAGAGCCCATGTGCGCTTCTTGTTGCTTTCGTAATTATTCCCTTTAAGTAGTCAAATCTGGCGATATCGTCGAGGTGATTGACTTATGATGTTTCATGTTTGTGTCATGTTCTACCAAATGTATCCTTCTGCTGGAAGTGTTTTTTTCTCTAGTGATTAATTGGTTGACCTATTTCTGAGTTTGAGCAACTTCTTGCCAATACCTCTTTCTAATTAAAATAATCAAATCTACGTTAAACTATATTATAAGTTTAAAGTAAAAATTTGAAACTTTGGTATTCTAGAATTCCTTATTAGGGGGCTATTGCGTTCCAGCCATCTGCCCGGGCCTTGGATTTGATTGTCCAACTTTTAGTTGCCTTGTAATTTGTATATTTTTCCTTTGCCATCTTAATGAATTGCACATTGTAAAAAAAAAAAAAATAGTAAGTATAGTTAACCACAATGTATATGGATTGGTGTGATTTCCGAATTATCCACAACTGACAAACCAAACTTACATCCCTAATCACTACCGTCCAACTTCACCTTGTGAGTTCGTCCAAAAATAAAATAAGGCTTCCTCTTGTGAGCCCATACCAGAAGCGCTGAACATATAACTTGCGAGTTGAGCAGAAAGCCGAAGCCCTTCTCCTTGCAGGCCGAATGTTGAAACTTGAAACAAAAAGAAAAAGGGAACAAAATCCCCCAATAAAGTCCCGTTTTGAATAATTACCAATTAGATTTGAAAAAAGAATAAAACACGAATGCAATTTTTTTTTATACCGAAATGCAAAATCGCAGCATTGGGCTGCTGCTCTCGTATTCTTCTTCTTAATTAAATCATTTTTAATTTTATGTTCTGCTACGTTCTTCTCCCGAGCCGGCTATGGAATCTTCACTCCACAAAGCTCTCTCCTCCCGGTCGCGCCTGCCCTCCTCCGATTTATCCCTTTCATCTTTGATCTGTAAGTGTAATTTCTTGCCATGCCATCTAATCTTCATTTCCTGCCCCCTTGAAGAAGTTTGAATCTGGCTGGGTCTTGTTATAATTGTCTTCATTCGAGCGGAGAGCATCAGATGTTTCATTCTCTCCTCTTTTCTCGTTCTCTCATAGTTGGTTAGTCTAGGTTCTCTGGTTCCCGAGTTCGGATCTTTTGCGTCACTCTGGATGTCTGATTGAAGCATTCCCCCAGTTAGGGTTTCCGCCTGAATGCGCGTCATTCTAACTTCTTCTATTCGTTTCGGATTTGGAGCTTCGGGGATTCGACCATTTCTGCACCACCCTCCTACTTCAGCCTTTCTTAGATTGAAGGAATGGCGGAATGCAGCAATTGTTTTCTGCTTCTTCCTTTGTTCATTGGGGTTACACTTGGGTTGTGCTGGGTTACAACTTAAAGTTTCCAACTTGCGCATTCTGGGGTTCTTCCTTACTTTTTTAGTCGAGAACGAACAGTTGACCAACGTTGGAGGTAACATTTTCCTATGAAGAAGCGTCATGCTGATGTGTGGCAGTAGTGGTCAGAGTGTTACTAATGTCTTATTACATTTTTTCTCCCTTATGGTTTGACTTTGCCTTTACTCTTGCGATCTGTCTAATTTCACCCCGCTATATACCCAGGCCTAGAGGTTCCTACTCTGTAGCATCTTCAGTAAGAGTTCAGCAGTAGATTATGGCTGAATCAAATTCAGTTGATGTTATCCTAGACTTCTTGCGGAGAAACCGGTTCACTAGAGCTGAGGCAGCTTTGCGGAGTGAGCTTGGCAATCACCCTGATCTGAATGGACTCTTTCAGCAACTGGCTCTCGAAGACAAGGAGTCGGGGGTAGTTATAGAAGAACGTAATGGGAGCAAAACATCAACTCACTTTCCGAACTCTGGTTCCCGGGATAGTCGTGAAGTTTCTAAAGAGCTTATAGTAAAAGAAATAGAGTGCAGTACTGACAGAAATGGATCTGAGGGTGGATGGGAAACTTCTGCTTCAACTGAGGATCGAAATGTGAACCCCAGCGAAACTATTGGTGGAACTGATTCTGGGGATACAGTCATTGATTTATATTCTTGGAACTCTATTTCTAACAATGGTCCTAACGTCTATCACAATGATAGGGCAAGTACAAGCAATTTCTCTGCTAGACCAACAGAGCAAAAATATAGAGAGGAGGTTCCCTTGTCAAGTTTGAAGAAAAGTGCATCGCAGGGTAGCAGTACCGGTGCTGCCATCCCTGATTCTAAGTATAGCACATTTCAGACAAGTGAACTGATAGAGTTTGGTCAGCAGGTTAAAACTACTGTGTCATATCCTGCTGACAACCCATGGGCAAGAACTGAGGTGCCAGCAAGCTCTTCAGTGGCCATATGGAAAGATTGTTCTGTGAAGACAGTCTTGCCATTCTCCAAGCTGGATGAATCCACTCGCTACGACACTACTGCTAATACTTCAGATAAGAAGGAAGGGAAAAAGAAAACTGATACAGCTAATGTAAGGGCTTCCACTAAAGAACAGGTTGATGAGATTGGCAGAGCTTTATATCTTGGGAAGTCACAAGCGAGTACTGAACCAAAGAATTTTAGCACCTCTGGATTTGCTCTCGCATCTGATAGTTCTAAGGAAGAATTTCCAAGGCTTCCACCTGTTAGACTGAAGTCGGAAGACAAATTAATGAGTGTCAACTGGCAGGAGAAGTTTGAGCGTGATAAGCTAGGGGCAAAGATCAGCAATGCTGATAGTTCCTTCCTTATTGGGTCATATCTTGATGTTCCTATTGGGCAAGAAATCAACTCTTCAGGTTAGTTTATCATTGTCCTGCTGCTTTCCTATTGGATTGAAGAGATTGTTTGAGCTAAGATGTAAGACTGTTATTTTCTTAATATGAAAGAGCAATTACATATTTAGTTTGGGTCCTCCACCTTTCCAATTTCTATTGAATTTGAGAGGCTTTATGCTTGTGAAGGACCTGTGTTTAGTAAGCTTGTCTACTGGTAAAATTAGCTGCTCTGTTGACAGTATGGTTCTATCCTAACAGACTCTCTTTTCTGAAATCCCTAACCTTGATAGTAGTTGAGCTGTCTTACGCATTAGTGATTTACTTGAGGATTTTCCTTGTAGCTGATGATTCAGGTGGAAACAGAATTGTGGGAGGCAGCTGGCTCTCCGTGAGTCAGGGAATTACAGAGGACACTTCTGACCTAGTTTCTGGTTTTGCTACAGTGGGCGATGGATTGAGCGAGTCTATCGATTATCCAAATGAATATTGGGATTCTGATGAATATGATGATGATGATGATGTTGGTTACATGAGGCAACCTATAGAGGACGAGGCTTGGTTTCTGGCTCATGAAATTGATTATCCTAGTGACAATGAGAAGGGGACGGGACACGGGAGTGTTCCGGATCCTCAAGAAAGAGGTCCAACAAAAGATGATGATGATCAGTCCTTTGCTGAAGAAGACTCTTACTTCTCTGGGGAGCGGTACTTTGAGTCAAAAAACGTTGAACCTGTCACAGCTTCAGATGATCCTATCGGACTGTCAGTGACTGAAATTTATGGAAGAACACATGAGAATGACTTAATGGCACAGTACGATGGACAATTGTTGGATGAAGAAGAGTTAAATTTGATGCGTGGTGAACCAGTGTGGCAGGGGTTTGTCACTCAAAATAATGAATTAGTTTTGCTAGAGGATGGGAAAGTACTCAATGACTCTGGAAGGCCACAATTGGAGGATGTTTGTATGGATGATGATCAACATGGATTGGTTCGATCCATTGGTGTGGGCATCAACAGTGATGCTGCTGATTTTGGGAGTGAAATGCGTGAAAACTTTATTGGTGTTGGCAGTGAAGGGGATCTGGAGTACCTTCGTGATAATAATATTGGGGCTGGAGGTTATAGACCTAATCACCAAGATTCAGATAAGAAATATGTAGATAAACAAAGCAAGAATAGAAAAAGGGTCAGCAAACAAGATTCAGGTAACTTTGGGAATGAAAAAGTCACTTCTACTCAACTCAAATCTCACTTAGATGGAGGATTCTCATTTCCTCCACCATTGAGGGATGGCCAAGCTGCCCAGGCAGGGCCTAGCAAGTGGTTGAACAAGTCTGATGCTGTCAAAGCTGATGAAACCAATGACCATTTGGAGGCTTTGACGATGCCTGATGCCATGCTTGCTGGATGGAAGCAGAAAAGTAGTGGGTCTTCAACAGCGAAAAGTTCTAGAGAAGAAAATAATGCTAATGCTAATGGCTCCGGAGGCTCAACTCCTTCTACGCTTTCAAATTATGGTTACGCTGAACAAGAGCGCTCTAAGAAAGAGGAGGACGAGAAGATTAATGGTGTTGTGGAAGAAGAACCTGGGGTATCAGTTGAGGATGAAGAGGCAGTTGCTGTTCAAGAGCAAGTGAGACAAATCAAAGCTCAGGAGGAAGAATTTGAAACTTTCAACCTAAAGATTGTGCATAGGAAGAACAGGCATGTCTATAAATTTATGCTAAAAGTTAATATCCTTGGTTGTCAGCTACTAATTATGAGATGCTATTATATTAGTATGTCACTAGTTGGAGTGTTTATGTCCCCCTGTTCGTTATATTGTTGGCAGTCTTGAGAAAAATACTTGGAATTTAAGATTTAGATTGTGCTTGTCCTGATATATATACTGTGTCTTGAAGAGATCGGTTCATGCATACTAGGGTAGACGTGGCTCCAAAAACACCAATTCTACATGTGCATTTCTTAACAAGCTCATTTCTAATTTTGTTTCTAATGAGAGCTTATTCCATAGTTTAGTGGACAGACATGCCTGTTTGAAACTAGTGGTTATATATGGGAAATGGATACAGGATCACTGCTGACTATGCTGCTACCCATTCCGGGATAGTTTCTATAGTTGAATGCATGACTTGTCACTTAATGGAATTGGATAGTCTAGCCATGTTACCTTCTTGGGTCTTGTGTTATTTTTTATTTTCACATAAAAAGTTGCTCTCCTTTTCCCCTAACTCACTGTCGATGCATCAGATCCCGACAGTAGTCCTCAATTGAACCTCTTATTCCTTTCTCAGGACTGGCTTTGAGGAGGATAAGAACTTCCATGTAGTTTTGAATTCTGTAATAGCTGGGCGTTATCATGTCACCGAGTATCTTGGTTCAGCAGCCTTCAGTAAAGCCATTCAGGCTCATGATTTGCATACAGGCATGGATGTTTGTGTGAAAATCATTAAAAACAACAAAGACTTCTTTGATCAGAGCCTTGATGAGATAAAGCTTCTGAAGTACGTGAACAAGCACGATCCAGCTGACAAGTATCACCTTCTCAGATTATATGATTACTTCTATTACCGGGTAAGTACGTACTTGACATCCAGCCACCTTAGCATGTTCTCTTATTGTTGTTGCTCTCGCTTGTGTTTGCCATAGTGCTAATTATCCTTTTGTAGTTTGAGGATACTGTTTGGTCATGATTTCAGGAGATAACACTTTTTTTTTTGTGTGTGGGTGTGTGTGTGTGTGGGGGGGGGGGGGGGGGGGGGGGGGGGGGGGGGGGATTACCATTAGACCAAGCCCTTGTGATTTGATGGTATTGTTCTTTCTATGCATATTTTAACTTTTGGGGTTTCACCCTTGGAACCTTAGAGAGAGGGAAAAAGAATCCAAAGGGCTGCAAAGTGTAACTACTTTCTCTCACCTGAATGATAAATTAATAAGGGGTTGGAGGTGATGAAATAAATTTGTATTATTGCCTTGTTTTCACGACTATATTAAGCAGATCTGAAGTTCTGTAGTGATGCCATTTTGCAGTCTGGAATGCTAAATTGGTTTTATCTTACTTTTCTTGGGAGCAGGCTGGGGAATTCTGGCTTGCATCTTCCCCTTTGCTTGAGAGTTTATAAGCAAGTCTCTTTTCCTAGGGCTGAAAATAGCCAGAAAGGGAAATAGGCTGCATGCTGTTTTTGTTGTTGTCCTTTCCCGTTTTTCTGCTAGGATTCTAGATTGCTGAATGGAGAGCATGTCCTTGTTTTACTGTGGGACTTCAGTTTAGATTTTATCTCGTGTGTTGTGCTGATTGTCGTCGAGGTGCATTACCTTTTTTTGGTTGTTTCTCTTTTTTTTTTTCAGCTACTGATTTGCTTGCCAGCTGATTGCTTTCTGTTATACTTTTCAGGAACATTTGTTGATTGTATGTGAACTCCTCAAGGCAAACTTGTATGAATTCCATAAGTTCAACAGAGAATCTGGAGGGGAAGTCTATTTCACAATGCCCAGATTGCAGGTTGGTTACCATTTTGTAATCGCAGATTCTATACTAGGTATGGTGGTGCATACTAATTTTTTTTAATGATTAAATGCAGTCCATTACAATCCAGTGTTTGGAAGCACTTCAATTCTTGCATGGTCTTGGTCTTATTCACTGT